ATAGCTTTTGACAAAGTCAAATACACGCTTCTTTTCAAACTTAAAACCCATCTGCCCCAGTCTTTATGCCTCATAATCCGCTCCTGCCTCTCTGATCGTACATTCCGAGTTCGCTGCGGCACTGAATTTTCCAATCGTTGTCGAGTTGAAGCTGCTGTTCCACAAGATAGCGTATTGGGTCCCGTCCTTACATCCTATTTACGCAGTTGAGAGACTAGTGCAGGGAGTTATGCGTTTCCCTCCACATGAGTGACATTTCTGGCTCGGAGTTCCCTCGCCTGTTTGTAAATAGTGTATGTGTTCTTTGTTCTATTTGTTCTAGGTACGTATGTACTCTTTTTTATTTATCTAGTTTATTTTATTATTATTAATTATATATATATATATATATATATATATATATATATATATATATATATATATATATATATATATATATATATATATTATTTTTCTTTACAACTTTTCCTTAATCGATCTTTGAGTATTAAATTTAAACTTCACTATTTAATTGGGAATAAGGTCACTTAATTTTAAGTGATCACACATCATCACTTAAATTAAGTGATCTTATTCCCAATTAAATAGTGAAGTTTAAATATATTATTTTTCTGTTTAATTTATTTTTACTTATTGTATAAACAATATGAATGTGATCTCTGAACACTATTATAAATGTCCTTTGAGACTGATTGTAATATTTTACATTAAAAAAGTTTAAAAAAATTTATTTTTTATAAATTGAGAAATTAGAATAACAAACATAAATGAGGTAAAAAAGAAATCAATAAGTAAAAATAAAATAAATCATCTTAATACATTCATTCCTATGTACAATATTTACATTCGCCCAGGAAACTTCGAGCCAAGCTGTCTCCTCTAAAAGTGAAAGGCAAAGCAGAACTCCAGGAGATCCCAACGCCTCTCTTCCAGCCGCGTCACCGGTAGGCCAGTGGAGACTGAAGGAGGGCACTAGAGCCACAGATGCTCAGGACTTGATTGGAGAAGGAGGCCATTGCCAAGACTCCAGAAGCATATTTACAAGAGATCTCTGGGCCACTGCACTTATTAACAGGTCTACCTGGTTTTGGGTACAAGATGATTATGTAGTGTTTTCACACCAAAGGAAAGTTGGTTATACGAAGGATGAAGTTGTATAGATAGGGAAGGAATATAATTGCTTTTTTGGGACGTTTTCTTAGGATTTGTGAAGTGATTCAGGGGAATCCTCGGGGTTTTAATTTGTCTATACAGTTTATTTAAATTTGTTTATTTATGAATTTGACCTCAGAAAGGTTAACAGGTTTTGGAGGTAGAGGGGTGGGATGGAGTTCGGGATGAGAAATAGAGCACACTCTACAGCTCTATTCGCATCTGATGAAGCCCAGAACACATCATCACAGCGAAGTGGGTGGGAAATGGACTGGAATTTAATATTAAATTTTTTAGTTACACTCCAGGGGACTTATCACTAGCGGATAATGAGGAGAGGTAGGATTGCAGGGTTGGGTTCTAAAGATATCCAGTTTCTTTTTTACATGTTTGGAATAATGATTATACGATATCCGGCCATCGAGATGCCAGGTTCTTTGCCAAAGGGTCCTAGAGAAACGTTTGCTATGGATAAGCTCCAGTATGCCTTGAGGTATAGGATTTATGTTATGGTGTTTTTTTGGACAATCAGGTGACGATGCAGTCCAAACTGCTCGCTGTATCAGGGTAGTGAAGGAATGCACTGCACCGTCGAGGTCTTCAGGTGTTTTTAAGGAAACTCTGAGGTCTACCTTATCTTCCAGTATTTAACGGAAAAGGTTCTAGTTAACTGGTAAATAATAACCCCGATAAATGAAGGCGGGGATGATTTAAGAATGGGAGATGTGGAAACGGTTAGGACTAGAGGACTTTGGTCTGTGGAAACATCGTCAAGCCTTGAAATGGAATACTGTAGTTATCTTAGACCTTTGTGTAGGAAAAAGTCTAGAAGGTCCGGATTGCGGTTGGGATCTGTTGGCCACTATGTGGGAGTATTAGGTGAAAGGATGTTGCTGCGATGGGAATTAAGTAAAGATAGCAATGTTCGCCCTCGAGAATTTGCGGATCTGGCTCCCCATTGCTGGTGTTTTGCATTTATATTTATTTATATATTTGCATTTATATTATCCACCTTGGATGAAGTGGTGTCCTAAGGAATTCAGGAAGGAAATTATTTGGGATTCGGAAATTAGTATTTTAGGCGGGGAATATGCCGCAACTAGTGTTATTGGGCAAAGGGGAGTTTGGATTATTACGTCTGTGGTTTGTAGGAAATTATGGGTTGGTAAGCTAAACAAATGATGGGAAACGGACCGATGGATAATTATGACAGTGCCACCATGTGCTGTTCCATCAGGATGGTCTGTTCGATAAATATTGTAGCCGGGAACGTTGATTTGTCGTTTTTTGGTTATTCAGGTTTCAGCTATAAGTGCTATGTCGATTTTTTTGTTATGTAATAAGATTGTCAGTTCGTTAATGTGGTTTCGAATACCATTCGCATTCTAAAAGAGAATGTAGAGAGATTTGGTTGAGGACATTTATGGATTTCTTGGCAGTGGATTGAGGTTGGATGTAACATTAGTAAGTAGCGAAATAAGAGGTGTAATGACAGCTCTAAATTCGGGAAAGGAAAGATGTCAGTAGGCTTTTGAGTTCATTGGAATTGGAAGGAGGAGGAATCTGAGTATTTAACCTACGTTCAGGGATGGAGGGATATGGGTCTTGAGGTTGATGTGTGAATTTTCGAGGTTTAAGTTCTTGTGGCAGGGTCTGAGTTAGAGTGTTTACAGTGTCTCCTTTGAGCATCTGAGCATAGGACATCCTTCCCTTCACTGTTCTAGAGGATTGCCTTAGTGGCCTGGATGTCTCCCTAGGCGTTGGGTACATTTGTGTTTTTAAGTATTTGTATATTTGACAACCCTTAGTGGTATAAAGGGTATACTGCACGTGAAGTTCTAGACTTCGTACAGTCCTCTGTTGCTCAACACACCTCACACATCTAGGGATGTAATGACCATAACGTTTCGTATGGCCATAAGCCTGGCAGTTATGGCAGTAAACGATGTCGCGCTTGGTGTAGGGCTTTTCAACAACAATGCCTGTATAATAAAGGCGTGTGACCTTGTAGATGTTTTTGACCTCGGGTGTTCGGTCAAGGTCAACTATGAATAGTGGAAGAGGTATTTTATTTTTTATTCCAGACTGTTCTCTTTCCTCCTTGAATATGTTCGCTATCTGGCGAGATTCCATACCCATGAGCTCTTGTTTTATAGCATCTGTTGGCGTTGATGGATGCAGTCTTCTGATAACGACCCTGAGCGCCCTCTCTTGACGCAGTTGATACGTTTGGTAATCAGCCTTGGTGTCAGATATGTATTTTATAATTTTTCTATAGGTTTCTGGAGTGTCGGGCATTAATTTAGTGTCATTGGTGCGGCTTTGGCATAAATATTTTCCTGAGCCTACTAGATAATTCAATTGGTGGGAGTTTGGGTTCTCTGGGGGTGGATGCTGCTTCCATTCGTTCGTTATGTGTATTTGAAAGCACTTGAACTGGATTCGGAGTGAAAAACGGCGATTCTTAACCCTTAGCTTGAGTTGTCTCATAATTGTTATGTTATTGTAAGGTGCCAGGATGGGGTTCTACTTCTTGTATGGAGCTTCCTGGTGTGGCTGGTTGAGTGTTTCTTTTCAAACGCCTTGTCTTTTTTTTTAATGGGAGAACTCCTAGTAGTATGGAGGCTCCTCGCCCTAGTGTTTTTGCCTTTGATCGACATTAGCATGTGATAATATCGCATTTTATATTAATATAGAAAAGAAAAATTGTTAAAAGTGAAGCGTGGAAAAAAAAAATTATTAAACACGAAAATATATAAGCGTGCTTAGAGAAGACTGATTATCACAGACCTTCCTCCGACAGAGGGCTACAGCTCACTAGTGGGGTTAGCGATGTATATGGATGGCCGTTATCTTACTACCCTAAGGTCTATTGACATTGTTCACTCTTGAGTTGTAAATAAGTGATCACTCACCTCAGTTTTTTGATCAGTTTCAAACGTAATAGTTAATATAACTGATGACACTAATAGTTAACATTAAACTTGTATACTGTCACTGCTAATTGAGATTTTTATAGGAGACGATCTGACGTATGTTTAACTAAGACTAACGCATGCACAGAACTAATAGTAAGTAATTAAAACTTTTGAACTTCCTCAGGTCGTACTGAAATACTACTGGAAGATATTTAAATAAACTTATCTTATATTCCTAAACCTACTTGCTTAGTAGAGGGCTGAAATATTGATGTGCAATCTTGAACGGATTGGTTTTGATCTAATGCTGTTTATAGTTCTCTATGTATTTTTTAAAGTCAATTTCTGAAACCCATTTAACTCTAAATATGCTGGATACATCCACGAATAGCAAAGAAACATTTTTCAGATGAATCAGAAATTTTTTTAACCAATTTTTTTGGTGAAGGGATCCCCACAAGAAAATACACGTATAGAATATTCATTCAATTCTCTAAAACCACTCAGAGAATCCACGTAGACTGAATCTGTCATCGGAAAACCACGACTGAAGTATAGCAAATGACCATAAATGCCGATTATCTGAATCCTTCAAAGTTCGAACTCGCTTACGCCAGCGAGACGGATCTCGCCGAAGTTGTCCAACATCAACAGAGGTGATGAGCCCAACATCAAATGAAAATGGAGGAGTATGTGTCTGAATGAATTATATATTGAGTTGAGAATTGGCTGTCGACCGGATAGGATGTGTGAGACTAAACTCAGCTCCGATCCAGATAAAAACAGAGTAATGGTGCCACAAGCGAGTCGGCTGTGCATGTGTGAAATGAGTGCTCGGAATGTCTATTTTAGAGAAAATATAACTGATGATTAGATAGATTCTGCCTGATAAAAGAACGGAAATTGACTTCGGGTGTCACGATAGCTCTTTTAAGGGCTCTTCAAATGGATAGAGCGGGTATACGGAAGTAGGACCAGGTAATTCAGGAAAAGGGAGACAAGGTCCCGATGAAGAGTGAGGTCTCGATCCCGGCTGCCTTGATAGTACATCTGTCGGACCGTCCTACTCCTAAAGCCAGAGTAAACACCGAAACTGATGAAAAAGTACCCACACAGGGGATGTTGAACGACAAACAAAACAAAGATGAAATATCGGAACCCAAACTCTTCTCTTGACAAGTCGGATGGGATCTTGATGTAGAAGAAAAGAGGAAAAAGAATAACATGAGTGCCATCTTGAAACAACAGGAGGAAGGAAAAATGACTGAGAGAGTAGAGCATCAAAAGCTTACATAAACAGGCATAATAAAAAATATTGTCAATCCTACCTCTCCAACAACACTAGAATAAGCCCCCACGTATGTCACAATGTAAGGCGTAGGAGAAAATGGAACCAGTTGTCCAAGCACAAAAAAATTGCTCTTATTTACGCATAATTTTATCTTTGTTTCCGTATTTTAATGCAGTGAGGACATAGTGGATACGTACCTCAGCTGCGCGGACAGCAATTAGAACGATTATTAAAAAAAAAGTATTAAAACACATAACTGGTTTATTCATATCAAATGGATGTATAACCATTGATCTTGATCACAGCTCTGATCATTTCTGTAATTAAAAATTTAAAAAAAGATCACCAAACATATTTTCCTTAGCTACTTTCAATCGGATCTCCTTATGCTGTTTCAATTTAAATTTGAGCACTTGATCGACAGCAGTAAACTTTGGCTTAAAGGGTGCTATAAGCTTGTGATTAAGAAGTGCTAACCAGTTTATTTCATTGAACCACGGATGTTCCTTAATGTCCTTGACGCCCCTTCTCAGGTTGCCGTACCTTTTGGTCAGGTCAACCTGGAGGAGGTTGTTAATCAGATCTGATAGCTGGTTAGAGAAGTGGCTGGGAGTGCAGTAAATACCGAGGATAATCTTCTCAGCATTTCTCATCATGTTATGACTAGCGAATGGTACTCTGCCAGCGCACATGCTAAAGAGTAGCACGCCAAAACTCCACCAGTCGACTGGTTTACCGTGACCCATATTAAGGAGAATTTCAGGTGCCATATACCCCTCCGTACCACACATAGAGTAGGTTCTTCCCTTTACTATTTTGGCGATACCTAAGTCCGCTAACTTGAGGTAACCATCGGCTTCAATAAGTATATTCTCCAGCTTGACGTCTCTGTGTACTATATCGAGATTGTGGAGATATTCTAAAGCTAAAACTACCTGCCCACAGTAAAATCTGGCGTGTTTCTCGTCTAACACCAATGTGTCCATAAGAAGTCTGTACAAATCGGTCCCACAGATGAACGGAAGACCAATGTAAATATAACTGTTATCTTGAAAAGAGAACTCAGAGTTTATACAGAATGGGAATCGAATAGCTTCTAATAATTTTCTTTCGGTGATGGAATAGTTGTAGGTATGCCGTTCAACTAGTAGAGATTTTTGAGCAACCTTTAAAGCATATGCATCGTCCGTTTTCCTGTGCTGAACTAAATACACGCGTCCAAATCCTCCCTCACCAAGGACAGCTTGAAATTTAAAATCATTTGCTACATAGGTCGGCCTTTTCTTGCCTTTCTCAAAGATAGAATTGAATTGAACCTTGCGGTTATTTAAAAAATCTTCCCAATTCAAAATTGATTTCTTTTTCTTCATGAATTAAAACATATCATACATTTGATAAGAATCGAATATTTACACAAGTATCATACAGTTGAATTAAAATAGATATTAATTATTGAACGTAAATACTTTTTATAATAAAAACTTTTTTACTTTAACAGGTGACTTTAAAAATTCAAAGACAATGTTTATTTGAAGTATTATAGTGTTTAAAGAATTTCCTCAATCCTCTAGTCTCAGGAATCCGTAGAAGATCAATTCATAGACTTTATGTGGTTTGTTGAAATTCTTATTTAGCAATAAATTTTCTAAAATGTATTAATTATATTTAAGTTGTTATTAAAAAATTCACCTTAGTTCATAGGTTAAAAAATAATGTGATACTATTGTGCAAGAGTCATAAAATCTTACGATCACACCATAAATGGCCGAGTGTATCCGAAAGATCGAACCTCCTGTTAAGGTTCCAATCTTATCTAAAAAGGAATCGCCAGGGGCTAGTTTTAAGCGAGCATATCGAGAAAAAGTCGAAAGCAGTGACGTTAATTGAGAACGACCAGTAGAAAGTTTACCGAAGTCGTAAATCGTCATATAAATAAATGGAGGTTAAACTGTGAACACGATTTCAGTCGGCTACTCAATAAAAAAAAAAAAAAAAAAAAAAAAAAAAAAAAGTCGGCTACTCTTGGAATCCCATTTATAGAGTGATTTTGCCCCACCCATCAGAGTTGAGTGATACTTGTACAATGATACCAATAAGACTTTTGAAATAAAACTGATAGAGCTCCAACGGCACTGCATTATGAGTATTAACTTGTACTACATAGCAAACTACATATGAATACAAACCCATACTTATGAATGAATAAAAGTTGAGTATTTGTTTTTGATTTTAAGAAATACTAGTGCGTACATTTGAGTGGTATGATATCAAAGACGGGCATCTGTCATTTTAAAAAGTTGATATAAATTTAACATAGCTTAACGGTAACATAGTGCTATGTATTGTAAAGACTGCCGGTGGATTCATTTAGTTATTTTTAAATGTATAATTAAATAAATATCATAAGTGCTCACATCTGGCGTAGTGGTACTTGAGCGAGGGCAACGACCCACGAGGACAACCTTTTGTAAGTGGTAATAAAAACCCTTAAGAACCACCGACCAAGACCGACAACGGTCTCACGCCTGAGTGTTTAAACAGGATCCGAATTACTATTAACACCTTCCAGAAATTAGACCTGGGCAGAATTTATTTGAAAAATATTCCCGGAATAAATCCCTAAATAAACCTCGATAGTTATTTCCGAAATAATTTATTTCATGAAATAACCTGACCATTATTTCCGAAATGATTATTTCGGGAATAAATTATTTCAGGAATAACGATATCTGAAATGATTATTTCAGGAATAATGTGAAATCTGAAATAATCATTCCGATCGACTTTTAGATATAATCAATATCCGGGTCGACTGTTATGTTTTCGGGGGCGCTAATTATAAAAATAATGTCGAATTCGATATTGCACCCCCCCCTCCCCACCCCCCATCGACTTTTTGTAACTTTTCAGATATAATCGATATCAGGGTCGACTTTTATGTTTTCGGGGGCGCTTTTTATGAAAATACTGTCGAATTTGATATTGCACCACCCCCTCCCCACCCCCCATCGACTTTTTGTAACTTTTCAGATATAATCGATATCAGGGTCGACTATTATGTTTACGGGGGCGCTTTTTATGAAAATACGGTCGAATTTGAAATTGCACCACCCCCTCCCCACCCCCCATCGACTTTTTGTAACTTTTCAGATATAATCGATATCAGGGTCGACTATTATGTTTACGGGGGCGCTTTTTATGAAAATACTGTCGAATTTGAAATTGCACCACCCCCTCCCCACCCCCCATCGACTTTTTGTAACTTTTCAGATATAATCGATATCAGGGTCGACTATTATGTTTACGGGGGCGCTTTTTATGAAAATACGGTCGAATTTGAAATTGCACCACCTCCTCCCCACCCCCCATCGACTTTTTGTAACTTTTCAGATATAATCGATATCAGGGTCGACTATTATGTTTTCGGGGGCGCTTTTTATGAAAATACTGTCGAATTTGAAATTGCACCACCCCCTCCCCACCCCCCATCGACTTTTTGTAACTTTTCAGATATAATCGATATCAGGGTCGACTTTTATGTTTTCGGGGGCGCTATTTATAAAAATAATGTCGAATTTGAGATTGCGCCACCCCCTCTCCCACCCCAGCATCGACTTTTTGTAACTTTTCAGATATAATCGATATCAGGGTCGACTTTTATGTTTTCGGGGGCGCTTTTTATGAAAATACTGTCGAATTTGATATTGCACCACCGCCTCCCCACCCAGCATCGCATTTTGTAACTTTTCAGATATAATCGATATCAGGGTCGACTGTTATGTTTTCGGGGCCGCTAATAATAAAAATAATGTCAGATCTGAGATTGCGCCCTTCCACCCTCCCGCATCAGCTTTTTGTATCTTTTCAGATTCAATCGATACCAGGATCAACTAATATGTTTTCGGGGTAGCTAATTAAGAATATACGGTAGAATTTGAAAAAGATATCCCAAAAACATAAAAGACCACCCTGATATCGATTACATCGGAAAAGTCACTAAAACTCGATTGGGGGGGGAGGGAGAGGCGCAATCTCAAATTCGACCGTATTTTCATAAAAAGCGCCCCCGTAAACATAATAGTCGACCCTGATATCGATTATATCTGAAAAGTTACAAAAAGTCGATGGGGGGTGGGGAGGGGGTGGTGCAATTTCAAATTCGACCGTATTTTCATAAAAAGCGCCCCCGTAAACATAATAGTCGACCCTGATATCGATTATATCTGAAAAGTTACAAAAAGTCGATGGGGGGTGGGGAGGGGGTGGTGCAATATCAAATTCGACAGTATTTTCATAAAAAGCGCCCCCGAAAACATAAAAGTCGACCCTGATATCGATTATATCTGAAAAGTTACAAAAAGTCGATGGGGGGTGGGGAGGGGGTGGTGCAATATCAAATTCGACTGTATTTTCATAAAAAGCGCCCCCGAAAACATAAAAGTCGACCCTGATATCGATTATATCTGAAAAGTTACAAAAAGTCGATGGGGGGTGGGGAGGGGGTGGTGCAATATCAAATTCGACCGTATTTTCATAAAAAGCACCCCCGAAAACATAATAGTCGACCCTGATATCGATTATTTCTGAAAAGTTACAAAAAGTCGATGGGGGGTGGGGAGGGGGTGGTGCAATATCAAATTCGACCGTATTTTCATAAAAAGCGCCCCCGAAAACATAATAGTCGACCCTGATATGGATTAAATCCGAAAAGTTACAAAAAGTTGATGGGGGGTGGGGAGGGGGTGGCGCAATCTCAAATTCGACAGTATTTTCATAAAAAGCGCCCCGAAAACATGGTGCATATTGGTAATTTTTTTATGTTATTTCAGAACAATGTTATTTCTGAAATATTTATTTCTTGATTTTATGCAATAATTTATTTATGAAATAAATAATCCTGAAATAATAGTTATGAAATAATTTATTTCAGAAATAACTCATTTCGAAATAATTTACATTATTCCAAAGAATGTTAAAATAGTGAAATAATTATTTCAGAAATAAATTCAGAGTTATTCCATCGAGATTATTTCGTTGACTGTTTGAAATATTATTTCAGAAATAACCGTTATTCCCGAAATAATTCATTCGTGGAATAACCATGTGAATTATTTCAGAAATAAATTATTTCAAGAGTGCCCAGGTCTACCAGAAATACGTAAAATATACCTGGTTAATGAAATACCTAAAGGCCTGGGGGAGAGGGCGTGGTCATCCCTTAGGCTAGGAATATTCAGCCAATCAGAGAAGACTATCAAAAGAGAGGGGGATGAAGAAAGGTGGGAAATAGAGGACTAGGACTAAGACACTTCTTTTTGGGACTCAGCGGAGGAGACTAAGAGCTGGGACACAGGCTAGGACACTTGATCAGGAGAAGCGGAGAGAGGAAGATATGGACTGATAGCTGGGACTCAGGGTAGAAGACAGCCGAAGGGAGAGAGATGAAGACTTAAAGACCAGATCGACGGAGCTTCCAGAGAGGTAGCCAGAACAGTTAGAGATAACGACAACACCCCTCACCAGCTAAGTAATAACCCTCATTTAGTTATACAGATGTAAACTTGTGTTGGCAACCATAAATCGTTAATTAATAGAATCAATAGAACACATGTAACTTTAATCAAACATCAAGCATTCTCCTCTAGTATGATTCTCCTACATAATATCATTTGTATATATGTTTTTGGTTATTTGAATTTGTAAATATATTAGTTAGTAAACCATCTTAGTACTTTTACCATCTACCCTGCATGCCACCAATTAGTAATAGAAACAAATGGTAAATTTAAAAACACGATACCTCTAGAAAAGAAATCCAATAAAAATTATATGGTTCAATCTAGGATACTACAGTAGGGGGTCTGTGGTATCTAACATTTAAATACAGAAATAATATATTTTTCGGTAGATCGGTTCCTTCTGGGACCGATATAAATACCAATATAAGTATTAAATACAAATAAATGCGGTTCCTGGAACCCCCTAC